TAACCACTGATAATACATTTGTATTCCTTCAAGTAGGAGATGCAAATGCATATGCACAGAATTTGAGACAAATATTGTTGAGGGAAGCAGCATTGTTCTTTATCGGATCCTATCTCGTATATATGGAAAAACTACTAATAGAAACTGCACATAAGATTTGGATTAGTAGAATGTGATAAACTCAAGTGTTCATACGAAACCTTTTTTGCGAAAGTGTATTGTTAAGCGTTTTGATGAATCTGTTGCTAGTCCAAATTTTAAAAGCATCTTTTTATCACAGGAGAAACTTTTCTCAAGTAAAAATAGAACAGAAGCTTCTCTAGGAAAAAAGTTGAAAGGAGACATGCTTGCAGAGATTGAGAAGGTTCACAAGGTAATTGTTGACCAACCTTTTAACCTCCTTGGGTTTGTATATCTTGTATGTGGTTGGAGGATATTTTCTCAACTAATCTGCTGAGAGAATTGCCATTTCGTCTTTTTCTTGTTTCTAGTAAAAATTTCATCTCATAAACTTCCTTTTTTACAATTGCTGCTTGCACAGAGGAAAGAGAGGTTGCTGAAGAAGCAACACAGACAAGCTCTCCTCCTTGATAATTTTTTGACTGTGGATGGCCTTGGTCCAGGGCGCTCTCTCCGCGACAGAAAGCCTGTTACCTACACTTTTGGTAAGGGAAACAAACTTCTACCCTTTGTCCTTGTTTTCCTGTGACAATTGCACTGCTTAAAAAACTTAGTGACTCTTTTAGGCAAAATAGAGGAACCATTGAGAACTTGTGGGCATGTCGCTGAATCGGAGTAAAACCAAATTGAAGGGTTAACCTTAGATGTATTTTGCTTGTTAGAGACCTGAGGTTCCACTCTTAAGAGTGGTGGTTTTCAATTTTTTTTCTTCCCAACATTCTCTCTACATTTTGTATAATTAGATGCAGGTTCTTATTAAAAGCGAAAAAGAATAACTAGATTCAGGCAGGGTATGTGGCTGTTGGTGAGGCTTCTTCTTATGGGGGTTGTGTTTCTGGGTTACTGGTGACGGATTAAGATGAACTGATCAGATTAATGTATACTATTGACTGTCGTCTAATGATATGAAATCCTAATTGATTTTGTGAGCAATATTCTTTGGTAGTAGTTGGTTACCTAAGAGGCTGGTGCCTATCATAGATGGAAAGGTTGTTATAAATGTGTACTTGTGTTGGGATTTTTGGGGAATGGGGGGGCGCTGTCCCATGAATTTTTAATCTGAGTTTTACCTGAATGATGTAGATTTTAATTTTAGTTCTGGGAAGTAGCAGATGACCAATCTTTATAGTTACTGTTATTTTTCCTATGTGACAATGGCTATATGGATTCCGATGATTGTGTTAATAATTTTGCAGATGATTATGACCGGTCCATCAATGAGGCAATCAAGATAACCAAGTATGGGTTTCATACTCTCTCTCTCTCTCTCTCTCTCTCTCTCTCTCTCTCAGAATAAAGTACTTTTGACTTATTTTTATTCTTCTCCTGTTTTAGAAGGAAGCAGCCATCCCCGGAACCTTTACAGAAACGAGAGGGAGTTGTGAAACCTGAAGCTTCTAGTAATGGTAAATGGAATGCTACTCCAAATTCCTATGAGCATGTAGGATTTAGTGCTCCATCTCCTAAATCACCAGATTATGATTATGATGTCGAAGAAGATAACAAATCTGAACAATTGGATCGAGGGTGAGCAAATTTCTTCTTTTTCTTCTTTTTAAGATGTTCAACTCCAGTATATTTTAAATCGTTGGCCTTTTTCATATACTGATTTTTATGTATTGAATGTAGCAATCGACGAAGACAGAGGCCCCAACGTTATTCTGCAAAAGAATTTGTTGAAGCAGTTTCAGATAATGAGGCAGATTTTGACAGTGATGATGATATAGTTGGTGAAGCTATATATGATGAGGAATACTTAAAGAAACGTAAAGAGAGAAGAAAGTTTTCTAGTAGCTCTGAAGGAGATGAGGAGTATCATTTTGAGGAAGAAAATGCTGAAGAGGAGGAAGAAGAGGAGGAAGAAGATTCCGTAAGTGCAAGCGAGGATAGTGATGAACCCCGAAAAGTTAAGAAATTGCCAGGCCGCACTAGGAGGGAAACTAAATTGAGGTCAGTTGATGAGCTCCAGTCAGGTCTAAGACGCAGTAAGAGGGCCACCAGAAATCGTATTGATTATCGACAATATGAATTCTCAGAGTCAGAACCAGAGCAGTCTATGAAACCTGAGAAATCAAATGCATCAGATGGACACTATGATGCAGGTGAGAATGGGGATTATTCAATGGAAAGTCAAGATTCAGATGGTAATGATGAGGACCAGGAAATGAAAGTTGATCAGGCTGTTGAAAATTACCCTGAGACGACAGTTGAGAAAGAGCAAATCCAGCCACCTGGAAAATCAAATAGTCCAGGGGAAGATGAAGTCGAAGGTGTACAGAAAAGACGTTTCCTCGACCTAAATGAGCTTGCCCCTGGTTCAGGTTTTGATGATGGTCCAAACACAATGATGAAAGATGATACGGATGATTTGTGATGTGACGGTTCCCCCTCTGCGAGACAGCAAAGATTGTGTATTGCAAGGAAGCCGAACTCTGTACGATTGTAAAATTTAGAAATTTTGTGCCAGTGCCCATGGAGAAAGTTGTGGCCAGAGTTCTCCTAGGCATAATTTAAGCAACAACCTTGGTGCATGATTTGCAACAGGGTCGCAACATGATGCGGCGAGTTATGTAGATTAGGTAGTCATTTTTTAGTATGTCGACATCCGAAGGAACCTACGAGCTCAGCTAGGACAGATGAATGGAAGTTGTTGGGATTTGCTTAGTTCATCCGATCAATGTACAATAACCCTCAGCTAATATTGTAACTGAAAGATTTGGCCTTAGATGTTAAAAGCCAAAGCCTTTGTAGTACTATCTCTCATGTTCATGAATCCCTGATAATGATCTGCCTTTGAGTCTGAGCTTATTTGGGTTGGTTGTGTTATAATAGAACCATCCTCCCTTAGAAGGTAAGGTAATTGTACTTTCTCTTGTATTCAGATTGGCTTTCTTATTTGTCATTTCATTTACCAGCCATCTTAGATTTTATTACCTTTCGCTCGGCACAAATGAAAGTCATTGTAAGCATGACGGAGTGGTATTATGGGAAAAAGGGAGTCTGGGAGCATCATTTTGCACGCCCGCCCGCCCTTGTGCACCGGAGTTTTTGGTTCTTTGCTGATTTCATTCTGAAATACCAGCATTACCTGTGCCATGTTGAACATCATCTTTAGTGTTATCTCAACTTTGACAATCGAATTGGGACAAAGATTTTGTTCTCTGGTGGGGTTTAGGGAATTATTTATTGAACAGTTACCTAACCTGCAGCCTGCAATTGAATAAATCTGTTCAGTGGAGAAAGTTACTGGACCATACACTACATGACTCATGCAGCAATCTCTTAAATGACATTTTGATAGAACTCTTTATTTTTAGAAGAAAGAGACCAACACCATAATTAAGTTTTGGTTAATGTTTGGATATGACAATATGAACGTCTTTTTCTAACCGTAATCACCCCTCTCCTAAACACACGAGAGCTATAAATGTTAGTCAAAGGAAAGGTCAAAAGACATGAAGCATCATATGATGGTTCTACTACTAATAAATATTCTCCAGCCAAGCCAACTCATTCTTCAGAATACCTTTATCAAGAGATCTTATGATGGTAAAAAATATTCATCATGATTCTTGCCCAATGCCCCCACAAGCAAATAGGCATACTATTTGCACGTAAACCTGGCTTGTACCTACACCCATTATTTAATGTATGAAAAAGACAAGCTGCCCAAAATTATTTCCATGAAATATGGACCATCCGATTTCCAAACACTGTCCAAAAACAACAACAAAGATGTTCTATTGCATGGGCCGGTGGTGGGGTCCAATCCTTCATCCATCTTCTTCCATCTGATATCTTTGAAGGTACTTTTTAGTTTTTATTTGATCCTTTGGTCCAAACATTGTATCACAACACAGTGAGTTTGGTGGAATATTTTATCACATATTAACAACGTAACAATTTAACATGTGTTTCGTGAAGCAAATATGGTTGCGTATGCCTTAACGAGTAGGCGAAATAATTATGTGCATCCTTGTGTTTGGTTTTCTAATTCCCCAATTCTTTGTTCGTTACAATTTGTTTTGACTTTCGTAATATTGGAATCCTCGGAGGATCCTCGTCGTAAATATTTTGCTTGTTTCATTAAAAAAAACCAACTGGTGAGTAAGTCAGATTGTGTCGAACACTACGTGAGAGAAAGTGGTGCAATTGCGTGGCCACTGCGTAAAGTCCCTTTCAATGTGGATGAGTTTGAGTTACTTTCTTTCCAAGTTGGAACAAACAAGAAATCCAAAACGATCGAGCACCAAGTCTACATCACTCACGTGGTCTTTTGTCCTATCACTTCTGCCGTCCATTCATCATGGCTTTATAGTACTAATTCGATCGAATTATCTCACTTACAAGTTACAAAGATTTTTTTGATTTTGGATTTAATAAAAATGCCCATCTGTTATGTTATGTTATGTTATGTGGGATTTTCTGCACCGCCATATATTTTTACCAATGATTCTGAACTAAGATGGAATTGGATTTATAAGATTATGTATACCAACTTGTTTCATGTTCATGTTCTTAGCCAACCTTCTTGTAATTGATTGAACTGATCAAGCAATAAAATAAGAACCAAATCCAAACATTATAGTCGAGTATGTATTCGGAGAGACGGTAGACTCTGAATTTGAACCATACATTTAAATACTAATCGACTTGATCATAAACCGTTTGAAATTAGAATATTTGCAAGCATCTATACTTTTATGTATAAAAATCTATACCACTGAGAGTCAAAATGTGCTAGACCACTACTGTTAAGCAAAAAGAACTTTACGTACTTAATATTAAAACACCCAAATGAAAAAAGTAGGAAAGGTTTTGGATCAGCTCAACTCTAATTAGTATTTTTGCTTCAACAGATATCTTTTGCAGAACTTTTTACCCAAAAGGAGAATATTAATTCTTAACATCATCAACTCAACCCCATAATCAGCCACTTGCCCCTCCAGAAAATTCAAAATTCTTTACAAAAGTTAGGCTCTACTACAACGACACATTCGCATTGCCAACCAAATCACTCTTGACTTGAACATCTTTGTTTTCTTGTGTCTGCACATCATCATCCTCCTCCTCCTTGGCTGCGCCAATCTCCTTAATTTCTTCAGCTGTTTTCTTAGCTGCTTCTTCCTTGGCTTCTTCAAGAGCTTGAATGAAATTTGAAAGACATCTCTCTGGATCATCTTGTGGGGACTTAGGCATGAGATTCTCTGCTACATCAGCAGGGGTCATTTTGACCTCCCCCATCAGCCTCTGAATTGTATCAAACATTTGATGTGTTTCAAGCTTCAGATAGTTCTTTGCCAGAACTTTGAACCCATCAAAACTGCAAAAAGAAAGCTCAATATGTTTGTCCATTCTGCCCCTCCTGATGAGGGCAGGATCAAGCTTCTCAACATAGTTTGTGGTGAACACAACAAGCCTCTCACCACCACAAGCAGACCAAAGCCCATCAATGAAATTCAACAGCCCAGAAAGAGTGACCTTGCTGCTGCCATGACCCTCTTCTTTTGGTTCCTTAATTCTCTCCTTACTGGACTTAGTTTCATCTTCCAAAGAAGATTTGTCTGCTTTCTTCTTCCTCTGGCCTGTAAGATCAAGTGAGCAGTCAATATCCTCAATCACAATTATAGACTTACTTGTGGTCTCAATCAAAAGCTTCCTAAGCTCTGTGTTGTCCTTGACAGCAGTGAGCTCAAGATCGTAAACATCATAACCCAACAAATTAGCCATTGCAGCAATCATGGTAGATTTCCCAGTCCCTGGTGGCCCATAAAGCAAATAACCCCTCTTCCAAGCCTTGCCAATTCTTGCATAAAAATCCTTGCTTTTGCTGAAAGTCACCAAATCTTCAATGATCTCCCTCTTCTTCTCTGGCTCCAATGCCATTGTTTCAAAAGTAGCTGGATGCTCAAACACTATGTGGCTCCACATGGTCTGCTTGTAGCTAGGCCATTTGTATCCAGGACTATTTGTGTAAAGCTTCCTCTGCCTATTTTTCACCCTGATTTCCTTCCCTTCCCTCACCACATGGTCTAAATAAGACTCTGTAATTATATCCCTGTACTTTTTGTGAAAAGTGAGCTTGTAAAACCTCTTCTCCTGCTCTGGATAGTAAGACATTGACATTGATCTCCCTGGAGACACAGATTTGGACAAAACCCACCAAATCTTAGCACCCTGAAAATCATCTGTAACTCTCTCGTACTCATCCATGCTCAAAACCAAGTTGCTGCTGTCTTTGACCATCTCTGCCTTGAGCCTCTTGGCGCTCTTTGAAGTGTTGTTGCTGAGATAGGCTTCCACGGCAGAATAGGCCTCGCTTCTCTTAAGCCTCTCCCCAGTGAACTCATGGATGGAGATTTTGATGTAGGGGTAGAAGTAGCCCATGATTCTGTGTGAGTATTTCTCAAAGAACCTACGAAGCTCGTAGGGGCAGTACTGGCGGATGATTGCCCAAACGAACATGAAGCTGGCTAAAGTTGAGCCCATTGTTGCCCACATCTGGGTCATTGTTGATGATGGCAGGGGCATCATTTTTCTGGCTTGGTTTTGTGGTTCTTGAGTTGAAGTGAATAGGATTTAGATTTTATGGTACTTGTGTTGGTGTTTTGATAAGACTCTTTGGGATTTCTATTGGCTATGGACTAGACCTTTTCTTCTTCATGGCTTTTGTGTTTGATTTTGAGTCGGACTGTAAACCAAGGGTAGGTAGATAATGAGAGAAGAATTGAGTTTATAAGCAAGACTAGTACTAAAAGGAACCATATTTCTATATCACATTAGCCTAGGAAGATTATTTGTGGAGAGTCTCTTTCTTTCTTGGAATCACAGTCTGACACGTATATAAAAATAACTTTAAAAAAATTAAATTATAATACAAATTTAAGCGCTGGCACCAAGTTGTGATTTACAGTTAAGAGAAATAATTCATTGTAGGTAAAAAAATGCGGAATTGTGATTTACAATAATTAAATGATCATATGATACGACAATTGATATATTTAATAAATGACATTACTTGGTGATCTAATATGGTCAAAATGTGAACCTTTTTAATCACTTTTCTATAAACAAATGACGAAAAGCAAGGGAAATTATGTAAACGAATTGGAAAAGAACAAGATTACAAAGAGAGAGATGAGAGATTAAAACAAGAGAAATGCTAGCAACCTTCTCTCTAACCTTCTCTTTTGGACCTTTTTCATTTTTTATTTGACATGTGTCATTCTCCTTACACTTAAAACAATATCATTAATATATTGTACAAACTTGTGATATTAGGATGAGATTGATTGGTCATTGGTGGGGCTACGTGGAGTGTGGACCAGATTAAAGTACAGAAATTGCATGGGATGGGAGGTGACTAATCCATCAATTATTGAACACGTGTCACGCACGTAAGACACCCCGAGGAAGAAAGTGGGTCTGCGCATGGGATTAGAAATATTTGGGTGACTTCGATTATTAAACAAAATGACAACTTTTTGCCCTCTAGCTATACGTTTTCCTCTTTTCTGGAAAATCATCTTTTAACTAATGAGACTTTGGATATTCCATAGTTTGATAAAGGACTTGACATTCTTTCTCTACATTAACAACCACATAAATTGGTTAAGAGCATTCCTTGCACTCGAGATATTAGGTTCGATTTCCCTTTCCCCATCGCTTGTATCACCTGAAAAAAAAAAAAAAAAAATTAAGGAGTTGCCTATGGGTGAACTATAGATTGTTTGGTTGATCACTCGAACAGAACCTCACCCCAAAATCCCATCATGCAATTTGCACACACAATCTGTTTACTTGTAAGTTGCAATTAGCAAAAGTGACGTGGACTGTCGAGGAACCAATTTTTTCTCATGGTTTGGAAATCATCCACGCAAGTATATGACTGCCGTTAATTGTTGTTCATAGACAAAGTCTATTTATGCTCAAATCAATGTCTGGTTGGTGCGTGGAAACATGATTGAATTTGAGACGAGACGACCTTGCATTTCTTTCTGTCATGTAACCATCAACTTCCTTGGCTTCATCATGATGATTGTGAATGAGATGAGATTCTCTGCCCCTTCAAAACTCATAGATCTTTGGTTCAGATCAAACATTTGATGCTTTTTAAGATTCAACTTGATGATTCTTTGCAAGCATTTCCAACTTGTAAATAATCATGAAAACTTTTACTGTCTTCTTTTGCCAAGTCTTCTCATGGGGTTGGTTTGGTTAACTTAATTTGTTGGGTTGAAGAAGATGATGAATGGTTCAGTAACATGACGTCACTCACAAGGCTCTGTGGCAGGCCAGTTTCCCAACAAGAAGTACATTGAGTTTGAAAGGTGGCACAGAAGAAAAATTGTAGACCAGTTCAAATTTGGTTTCTATATTCTAAGCAATTTCTCTCTCTTTTTACCTACTTTTGAGGTACATGAAGACTTGAGGGAGCTCTCTCCTTTTTCCCCAACCTTGAAATTATTGGACTGGTCATGCTTGCCTTTGTAGCACTATAATTTGCTCGTGAATGAAATCACAGAAATTGTCGATTGCTATAGAAAATTTTGTAATTTTGTGGAGGATGAAGAGTTTCTTCCAAAGGGGGTTGGGGGTTTATGGTAATTCACCCACAATAATTCAAGATAGCAACTTCACTAGATGAATGGTTCCATGCCAATACAAGGGTGAGGGCCCTTTTACAAACTGATTTAGAGGGGAAAACTTCCATGAGTCATATTCAACTATATTCTCTATCAAAGACTATGAGGTGGAGGGAAAGCCTGTTCTATTTACATGGGAAGTAAAAATAGAACAAGGAAAAGAGCAGAAAGAATTCCTATTACCTTCATTTCCTTCATAAAATGAAGGAAGAAGCATTCAATTGTTTTCGATGCTGCATCTGTTATTGATAGCTATCACCTTCAACCAGTTTTAGTTGCAGAGATTCTTGACATCTTCCTCCTTGGCAAACCAGTTCGGTATTAGCCGTGGCAGATGAGGATACAAGTCTTTGTAGGAATTCTTGATTGTCCCTTCAGCCACTCTAGTAGCAAGCGAAATATCTGCAATAAAATGGAACTTAGTATAGGCTTTTGCAAGAGGATGAATAAATAGGTACCACAGCTTTCTAACCTTTAAAAGTCCTTTTGTCATCCGATAGTTGGGTTATGATGTATATAACTGCAGCTGCCACCGATATCGGGCTCCTCCTGTAGAAGTGAGAGGGCATTACTTATATTAACTTGAAAAGAAACCATCAACACTAATGCTTCAAAAAATTTGAAATTTAGGGATTTGGTTGTATGTTCTGAATTTTAATATACTTCAAGATCCAAAATTTCAATTGGAAAAAAGGAAAGTTCTTAGTCTAATTAAAACACTGATGAAGGCATGGATTTGGTTTGGATATCATATTTCTCCTCAGCCTAACATTTATAACATCCCTTATTTAAATTCATGCATAAACATCTAAGGAGACTCTCTCCTCTTGTGCAGTTATAGCATAAATATAATATTTTGATTTCTAGCAAACATAGCACGGCCAACAACAAGATCTAACCTTATGACAAGGTCTTCAGATTTCTGCACAGTTTCTTGGGCAGCCTTGACTTCCAGATTCTTCATTCCAAGATTGGAGCAAAAACGTCTCTATATATAAAAGAGGGAAAAAATTATGTTATAATGCGAAACACATCTCTAACAAGAAAGCTAAACATTGAGATACATATAGACGCAATGTATGTAATGAAGAGAGCTCATGTAGCAAACTCACCAGATAGTCTCCAGCATGAATAGTTCCTATTTCCTGACCTATCTCAACCTCAAGGTGTTTCCAAATGAACTCTTTGGCCCGCCCAATTTCTTTCTTGCTAGCTCCACTGACTGCGGAGCATATTTCTGTTTAAACCCACAAGTTTAGCAACTCCCATGCTCACAAGAAATACAAAACAAGTCACCCATTACGAACACGAAAATGCCCTCATACCTTTCACAGTACGAGGCTTATTTTCTTGTCTGCAGGCAATGTAGAGGCAAGCAGCCACAACTGCATCTTGATTGCGTCCTCTCAGAGGTCTTTGATCTTCCACCTTCTTATATATCTCATTGGCTCGATCCTGGTAATCAGAATAACAAAACCATAAATATCACATCATAGTTCTAAAGCAAGAAATGATGCATCAAAAACACATACCAAAAAAAAATTGTAACTTCAATTGAAGCATTAATCATGTTCGAATCATCAATAAACACTAACACAGATTGGAGGACCAAAAAGTTAAAGCATTTCCTTTTTCTATTGTAAATCAAAACACCAAATTGACAATTTGAAAACAAACCAATTACATAAGCATAATGGAAATTATGGTAAAGATACTGATATACCTTTATGGTTGTGACAAGCCCCAACCTGCAGTGACACACATAAACTGGCATCAGTTATGTTCAAAATCGACACTGTTCATGAATAATGACGCAAGAAATCATAAAAGTTTCTTCCTTTTTAACTTTTTAGTGTCAAAGTTTTAGTCTTTCATTTTCCTTCGCTTTCCCAGCAACCAAACAGCAATTAACACAACATTTAACTAAAAGTCCAAACCAATCAAAACGAACCTGTCGGCCATAATAGCAATAGCACTGAAGATGTTGAGAAGATGACGGTCGGGTTTAGAGGCGCGGCTCTGCCACCTGCCGACGGAGGACGGCAAGGCATTGGAGGAAGCGCCGTTGCTGGGACCTGCGATAACGGTGGAAAGCCCACCGTCGGCCAAAAGCGGGTTAACAGGTCCGCCGACCCGGTTCGGATCGTTGCCGTTGGACTCGTCGGCGAAGGAGCGCCACTCGGAAGTCTCGTCGACGGAGCGAGACTCCAGCACGAGCCCGCACTCCGAGCATATCGTGTCGCCCGCTGAGTGGTCGAACACAACCTCCGTCAGCATGTTACAGTCGCGGCAAAATATGTCCGACATTCCACAAATGTTTTTTTCTTTCTCCTCTGACTTTTCTTTGGGATTTTGTCTTGTCTGTTTCTGATTGACCGTTATAATTTTTCTGTTTTCGTTTTTGGGGGTGTTTACAGTGAGCACTGTAAAATGTTGTGAGCAGTAACGGATGGTTTTATATATACATTGGAAGGGAAGGAAGAATGAGGGTGAAATTGGAATTTTGGATCTGCCTTTCTTTTGCAGGGGTGAGTTGGTGAGTGCTGGCCGTTGGGTTTGATAGGGCTAATGGCTTGATATGGGAATTTGATAGGAATAGGTTCAATGAACAAATTTAACTTGTTTAGAGAATTTGGGATGTAATTCAATAGCATATCCAATTTAAGATATTGATTTTCATGCAAATCTATATATAATACTTAGTTTACTCTTTAGTTTGACTCTTATGTACGAGTGATTATCGATGAAAGTAACTTCCCGTGACATATCAGCATAATATTTCGACAAACCGCGTGTTCTCACCTTCATGTCATTCTAATAAGTACTGGAATTGTTCTAATTCCTAACTTTCCATCTATATACTAACACATGGGTATTTCAATTATTTTCTCCTTCATTTACTAACAAGTAAAGGATAAAAAGTTATGTGAGTTCCACATTAAACTTCTTTATCTAAGACCTGAAACAATGAATTAGATTGAATATGTGAAGTAATTGATCTCGTACACATTTATTCTTTCCCGATTACAAGTGAGAATGTCATTAGAGTCCAAATATCCCTCTACGCAATTGGCAAAGTAAATTGACAAAAGAGCACCGCCAGTAGCCCTAGTGGTTTTAGATTTCTTATTTATTTGTTCATTTATGGGAAGATCATTAAGCCTTGAGGCAAGAATAACGCGCCATTCCTAAATTGCTAATTACTTTCCAAAGCAAAATATCAAGACGAGTTTGGGAGGCCTTTCGAACCGGCCGGTCCATGAACATTGACATAGAGAGAAAGGACCCGGCCCAATAGACCGGGTTCAGATATCGGGCTTCCACCAACAGCTGAATACCATAAACAAATTCTTCGATAAAATTCTTTAACCAAACAGTCTAAATCTAAACCAACTTTTGTTTGTTTAAAAATAAATTAATTAGTGGAGAAACTGGACGACCAAAGTTGTAAGCATTGAAACCAGACTCATTGACAGCCCAACATCAACAGGATGATTGTCGTTTGAAGATCCATGTCCATGTGAAGAAGAATATATACCACCTTTCAGTAGGCACATGAGTGCTTTGAATATAAATTATATTCATCTCATTTCCATCTGTTGCTTGCTCTCCTAATTCTAAATGCAAAATTACAGCACCTGGATTTGTATGCAACTGTTCCCCTACACATATCCAGTTGGACCTCGTCATCATCATCGCCTTCCTTCCGGCCTCAGGTCGAAAAACAAAGAAATAAAGAAAGAGCAGGAACAATAAAAGAATATATGGAAGGCAATTTTTTTGTACAGGGACCAGATCATATAATCAATCATCTAACTTGTCCTCCACAGACTATACAATATGATGGTGCTATGACTGCAAAACTTCCATGTTCTTTCCTAGATTCTCAAGATGGGGGTCATGAATACCAGAACTACTATCTCATGCTGCAACACTGAGGCCGTCCCAGCCGTTTCAATTTGTCCCACATGCAGATCATCTGTCTCGGAGACTGGTAATGGGCTGTATAATAATCTTCTATGCACCCGAACTGGCAGAACTTCAAGCTGTGCATGTACTCTACTGGTCTTGAAGTGTTGAATTTCTCAACCCACATTCCCATGCTTACATCTTCCATCTTAAACAACTGCAAAAAGCTCAAAGTGTTTATAATCAACTTAAGCATGTCATCCATCACAGTATAGTGTGTGTGTGTGTGTGTGAGAGAGAGAAAGAGACAGAGACAGAGAGACACAGAATGCATGTAATGTTACTTACCCTTAATTTACGTCTCTCAAACTCGGATACTATGAATTTTGCAATGTCTGATGACAAAATGTAACCTGGTCCATTTGCATAAGGTGGATAGTCTTCTTCTGGCCACTCCTGAAACCAGAAAACAGTGAACAAATGGCCATGAATATTAACATCAAAAGTGCATCAATACATATAGAAGACCGGGGTGGGTTTGCAATTATTCACTACACAGTATAAGGTCTCGGAAACAGTAAGTTCGTTCATACCTCATATGTCACAGCCCATTTTCCATAGCGTAGAGGCTTGTGGTAGTAATTTATGTTCCCTACATACAAGCTCCTACCCTCTGGTACTTTATGTGCTTCTTTGATAACGGCATCCACCCTAACAAATGTGTCATCATCACACTTCATAATGTACTTAGCAGACATTGTACGAACCTGAAACAGAAGAGACACCATTATTAATAAAATTATTGCGAGGGCGAGGAGAATGATCAACAATATCACATCTTCATTTATGCGTTTACTCCACAACTCACCCCATATTCGCAGATGGCAACAGTTTTCAAGACGACCAAGTCATAGTTATCCATGTAAGGCACTATAACAATATCACCAAAAAACTCTGCTTCTTTCTTTAGCTCGATATTCACCTCCCCTTTAGCATGCTGTCCCCAGATATCAACAAAAAGATTGAGAATCTAACACTGAAAAATTGTACATCAACCAACCACAAAATATTCAAGGGCCTTTATTGCTATCGCTTACCAGTGCTACAAAGAAACGAGCTACTACTGTTGATGATTCGACAAGACTGTGCCGCATCCAAGACTTCCTTACTGCCATCCTCTCAGCAAAATGGTTGCCTGCAGAAAGGATACCAATGAAAAGTTCAACACCCCTCTCAGAAAGAGGTGGGGCACGCCATCTGGTTGACATCTCAAGATGCTTCTGTGGAGCAAAACTAGGATGGGATGAGGGCAAAGACGCGGCAAATACAGAGTGCAGATCAACATCCCCACTCAGAGACAGCCCAGTGGCATCCTCAAGAGAAAATCCCTGTAAAAAATATAACAAAATCTTAGCAAAAAATCCCATTAATCATCATGAGGTCAAGAGGAAGTAGAATATTACTCACACTATGATAAGGAAAAGAGGCGATATGCCTCCCATCGACATTAATATGATAACCTTCCAAACCAGCGCTAAGGGTTAAAACAAACAATTTCTCCTCTGCAAATGAGTATGGCCAGTCAACAGGCACCTTTTTAGTTCTGCCTACCAGCCTGCTCAACCACCATGTTGCCTTGGACTCCACTGAGCGACTGTCATCATCACGAATCCATTTCTCACACTTCACCTGACCATCAACTAAAACCAGTCTCTACAGAATTACTCAATTTGGCGGTGGCACATGAAAGATGAATGAACTCAAAATGGCTAAGAATCACAAAGATAGAAACAAGAAAAATGAGGCAAAAAACCAAAAAAGGAAAATCTTTTAATTTTCATGTTGTTCTCTGGAGGATATTATCAATAAGCAGTTATTCACTATGCTCATAACAACTGAAACACAATTTGATTTTTAATAACTACCCCGCATGCTGAACATTAAGCTGGCATAACCACTCCACACTCTTAAGCAAGACTTTTATATTGCCTTTTAGCAGTAGCTTAGCTACAATGTTCTAATTCCAAGGCATGCTAAAAACTCAAACAACAACTAATGCACTAAACCCACTTCCTTTTCCCTAACCAAACAATATACAAAATTTACTAATGCCTTGATTCTCAGACAACCATGCAATAGAAACGAAAACAGAGCAATTCATAGCATCCATACCTAACATAACCAACTTCAACTTTATAATAATCACTTACCAGTTTCATCATCAGCCTTTGATTTCCAGCCCTCGCAGCGAAGAGCCGAGCCCCACTGCATCCTATAACAAGTGTTGAGTTCAATTACAGGCTTTCCACTCCAATCCCCTTTCAACCTTGGATTGAAATGCAAAAGCCTTGGTGGCTCCTCACCCTCCACAGTCTTCAACCCCAACAACTCCACCTTAAACTGGGAAACCATCACCGACTCTCCGTCATTCACGAGCGCTATATTGGGCTGAGCCTCCTGGTGCGCCGCCTTGGGCCTCCCCACCAGCGTTATGTGCGAGCCCAATGTTAGCCCACACGGCAGCACCATGACCCTTCCCTGGGCCGAAAACTCCGACCCGGATAACGAAATCGAATGCCGGCAAGATTCTGATCTGTTCTCGACCTTTCTGGCCTCAATTCGGACCTTCCCAGCCTGCAACTCTTCCCAGAACTTCCTCCCCACTTCCCAAGCAACCTTGGCCGGCTTATAAAGCTGGGAATCGAATGTTTTCGGGTCGAATACTAAACCCGAGACGATATTAGACTCGCTGGGTCGACTCTGAGTCGGCTGGTACGAGTTTTGTGAAACTTGTTCGAGAGGTCGACTTGGGGCGTCTTTTTCTTCAACGGCTTCCTTGCTCTGGAGCCTGCTGGGTCGAGACAAGGGGTCCTGAGAGATGATACTGAACCCAGTTCTCAACACAAAGGGGATTTCCACTGTGACTAACAGTAGGTACAGAAGACCAATAGCAATCAGAATCTGAACCGATCTTTGCCTGGTTAGAGAGAAGAAGGTGCCGAATCTGTCCAATTTGGCCCTCCTCATCCCCAATGTTATAAACTCAAAAACCCTACAATTTACCACCAAGCAAACTGCTTTCCAACGGGCAGAGCAAAAAAACAGATTTTGAACTCTGGGTTTTGCGAAAAAATGAGTCTTTGATTCAAATTCAAGAGTTAGTTAGAGAACCAGAGGGACGGGTCAGCAAACTTGCAACACAGACGCGTAACGAAAGAGTTAAGGAAGAAGTAGTAAGAGGAGGAGGTGTTTGGGTGATTTTGATTTCCAGGTCGGTGGCGTTGGCTTTTTCCTGGAAGATCAGAAACAAGTTTTTTTTTTCTTTTTTCTTTTTTTTTTTCTGTCGTTCTCCAATGGAAACTTGAAAACAAAAAGTGGTGCTCCGGTTTAAAACGGAATTGTGATTGAAATTGAAATTTGAAGAGACGTTTTTTCGATGCGAAGCGAAAATTATTAAATAATTATTTGTGTGCGGTGGTGGGGTTGGGATCTGCTGGTAATCAACACTACCCGCCACTTCGCCGGTGAGTCCGAGGCAGAACTCTGGACAGCAAACACACAGTAAACCCTAAAGTTACCCTATATAGTTTACTAGAGTATTTATCCACAATCAAAGGAGTGTTGGCAAAAAAATCTATAACGAAAGGAGTAATTTGTTAATTAAGATATTGATTATGCAAATTATACCTAAATTATATCTAAATCATTTATCCATTTTGAGTGTATTAATCTCAAACTCCTTCAATAAAATAAATAAAATCACAAAACTTTGTATCACTAACAAGAATATTTATTTACCAATTCAATTAGTTGGCACCTTGTTTTAGGGTTTAGGGATAATTTTAAATCATGAAAGTTTTCTGTGTCAATTTTAAGAGAAATACTTAGTTGCAACGAGATAGTACTGTTTAGATGTAAAAGTATTATTATGCGTGTCATAAAATTGCTATTCCCGTTTCATGAAAAACTTTCTTCAATTTTACACCTAATAAAAGATAGTAAAATTTTATTTCTGAAAAAGTTAAAAGAAATATCTAGATCCCTTTAGAAAGAAATTTTTTTTTTGAATATTATTCGTTCTTTTACTCTTCTGACTCTCATCTTTCTCATCTTTATCTTTTGCCACTTTTATAATGTGCCATGCACTACCAACAATTTTTAACAGTAAAAGTAATGAAAAGGTCACGATCAGACTTGAGGGCACAATAGAAACAAGAAGGAAAAAAAAAAGGGCCGTTAGAACAGCGTAGGAGGCTACACGAGGGTGGAAAAACTGCAAAGCAACCGTTGGGATGGTGGAGCAGCCATGCATAGCATCTCCTTTTTATTTTAGAAAAATACTTCCCTACTTACCAAGTAAGTAAAAGTTTCTACATTTCTATCAATAATAATATGATAAATGTACAGAAGGGTTTTCTTTTTGTGTTTTTTATAAAGAATTTTTGCGTATGTATAAAATTGTGATTCACAGTAAGGAATAGTATCTCCTTACAGGTAAGGAGGCAAGTAGTGTCCTTTATTTTACTCTCACGTGTGGGGACTTTATACATCACTATTAGATTAGATTAAACTGAATTAATTAACTAGATTAAATAGCTTGTCTTTCTCATCATGATTAATGAATCTATTGGGATCTTTGTTGAAAGGTCCGCCTGTGATTTTAAACACCTCATTTTTAGGAGAAACTTTCCCCAAACCATCCCTCTGTTTTTCATCCTCCTCCCAAGTCCTAAAAATTTATAGTCCTTATTATGTAGCTGTGTTTCTATGTTGAATTTCATAGCCATTGTTAGGGTTCTTAGAAATTCATGGGATATGTCTTGCTCATATTTCAATGTCTATGAATATTGAGAATGGAAATAAAGTTACCATGATACTGATAGAAATATAACAATCATAATATAGTCGTTACTATCGTAGAGTTATTTTATCACTAGATTCAGAGTTAACTGATGATATAGTTAAAACTAGGAAATGAGAGTGAGTTAAGTCGTCTTTGCATAACTTATTATGCTCTGATTTGTTATAAAACTTCCACTTTGATCACTTTGTTCTAAAAATTTGTTTTTTAATTAGGTATAATAAGGCCTTGATTAAGGTAAATACCAAATAGGTGCACTTTAATTAATTACCAACTGACTAGGGACGTACGGGAAATATTTGTTTCTTCAATTACACAAAAGCGATTTAGAAAAAAGTTACTTCTGTAAATGGTAAACCTATTAATTCCTAACTAACTTTTGGGAGAGGAACAAGCAAGTCCCTCCAATTACACATAGAGAAGAGCACGACAAAGACTAATATGTTGAAAGCCTCCCTTTCTCGACCGGGTGGGTGCAAAGGCTTTTTGGATGAATTGAAGAGAGTGATGTCAAATGAATTGACTTGGCAAAAGGAGACACCATATACATCACTTATTTATATGCTCCTTTCTCGATCGGGTGGGTGCAAAGGCTTTTTGGATAAATTGAAGAGAGTGATGTCAAATGATTTGACTCGGCAAAAGGAGACATCATATACACATCACTTATTTATATGCTTTGTAGATAACGTAAAAATTAGCGATGTAATTAAGGTGCTTAATTAGGTACTTTACATTAAACTAATTCAATTCAAAACTTCACGTTGAAGTTGAAGGAGACTCCTTCAATAAAAATGTGCTTAAACCATCTCATGGGTTTATAAATACACAATCTAGATACCATGTAAGTTGTAACGTTCTCTTTTTTTTTTTTAAGTTTCTTGGCAACCTCATACATACCCACCACACAAGGACAACAAATGAGGTAAACTATTTCATCACATGTCATATATTATGCCTTGATATTCCATGGTTCATTTCAAGTTATTTCTTGGGTTTGTTTTTTAATTTTGTCAAGTTGGAAAGTTGTTTTCATGATCCATCTCTCTCTCTCTCTCTCTCTCAAAACTTAGTTTGCACAGTTTTGATTGATCTTTACATATATATGGACTCGATCTGTGGAGAAATATATGGCATGAAATATTCAAAGATCACCAACCTTAATTTATAACCAAATGGGGTATGTCTTTTGTTTTCTTAGTCAGAGAAGTGAGAGTTAGACACGTTTCATTTAGTATAAAACTTGATGAATGATGTTATTACGCATGGACTCACGTTGGCAATTAGACAATATAGGAGTTTGAATAGAGAGAAGTAAATAAAAGGGAAGGTTTTTTTTTATTTTCTATACAAATAATATTCTGCTTTAATCTAATTTAAACTACGAAGAAGGAGATTCATACTCTGATACAGAGTGGGCAGCATATCCTCTATAGCCAATTTAACTAAGTCCATGTCTGCAAATAAAAGTGAAGTTAAACATGTATGTGATATTTTTTTGTCGACAAAATGATATTCTAAACTATATTTTAAACTACTTTTATTTGTTAGAAAAAGATTTTAAACTTAGTGTAAGATAAAAGACACACGTCGCTCATAGGTCAGTCGTTAAAGTTGCCTGATGACATTTCCCGCTTCTCCTTCCAAACTTTGGAAAAAAAACAAAGAAACAAACATACTATTCTGATTTACTAGTATACAGGCCTGAAATTTGACAAACGAAATGTGACATCATGACATGCGTGGATGAAATTTAACCAAGTCTGACTCACACCCCAGTTCTGTTTCTTTTTACATGTCACACCCTCACGCATTATAAATTAATGCGTTGTAACAGCTCTGAGGTTGAGGCCCCCATTATTATCCAACACGAAAGTTGCACTGGATTTTTAGGCACCACTACCTTTTGTATTTTGTATTTACACCCAACTTTGATTAAAAAAAACCCACGAACCACTTTTATCAAGCTGACCAAAACAAAGTGGCAGGGACGGTTCATCTGGACATATTCTTGGATCCACTGAAAATTAAATACCACTACATGAATATCTAGCTATTGAAGGTAGGGTCCTGTTAGCATCAAGGTTTCACTCGTTCAAGTGATTGTAGGTCGTTGATGTAAAAAGTGAATCTCACAACGCATCAATGGACTAATATTAGCAAAAATGAAAGCATGGGCATGATTTTCTTGCCTTTAGTCAATACCTAAGGAGCTGTAGTTTGGTGAGGAGCAATACCTGTCTCTGAAGTCTCTTACTCTGGAAAGTTTGAATTTAAAATTTGAAGCTCATCATAAGGCCAAAAGCTTGTATTAGCTGTGCGCCACATGTGTCCAGGTTCTTGCTGAAAAAAGAACAAAACCTGATAGTTTATAATTTCTAATCATTTTATGCTATATTGCGATTCTTGTTCTGGTGATATACGCAAATCCATTTATCTAATATTATACAGATACAACAATCTCTAAATTGAAACAATCTCTTAGCTGCTTGTTATGGGTTGGACTATTGTTCTATACACCTAATGGTATCTTTGATCATAAGTAGCTTGTCCCTTTTGGCTTTTGCTTTTAAAATTTCTTATGAAATGAGGAAAATTCAAATTCTTGGCCGACCAAAATATATGATGTATTTTCTGATTTTCATTTTGTGGGGCTCCACTTTAGGCCTCAGGTCTGATAATGACACAATAACTTTTTCACGTGACATGACAATTTTAACTTAAAATGACAAAATAGTGTTATTCTAGTTGCTACCGAGTTTTTCTACAAGCGAAAACAGGCCGGAGCACCATATGTCGGCACATGTCAATTGAGCATGGTATTACGGGCTTGCTTCATAGAATGTGTCAAAATGGGATCCATTTACAAACCCCACAAAATCAATAGGGGATTTTTAGAACAATAGATCAAAACCACCACCACTAAGGAAACAAAAAAGGGATTGAAATTCCTTTTCTTTTCTTTTAAAAATATACAAATTTTATATGATGTGGCCTCCCGTGAACCTTTGGATTGGTTTTGATGGCTTAAATTTATTTTTAAATTTGTATAAAAAGAAGAATTTGAACTTGGGTGATCATAATTTAGTCCAGCCTCTTTTTGGTTTTTAATTATTTTTAGTAAAAGTATTATACAGAGGACTGAAAACGACAACATTTGAAAACTAATGTTACAGGAGCTTCTCCAAAGAAGAGAAACTCCTCCAAAAATGGGCGTATGCCACTATGAGCGGCGAGCACACGGTATTCTTTAGTAAAAGGCGAAAGAATAGTTCGCTTTGTGCTCACCGCGTGGCTGCGTGATTTCAAATGCAGCATCTCTTCCATTTTTATATCCGTTCTCTATCCGGCCTCGTTTTGTTCTTTTCCGATGTGGGACTTACTGAAAACAGAAAACTATTACTCGAGTTACTGATTGTTTTTCTTCTTCTTATATTTACATCATAAAGGATCCAATATTTCAGTGCCTGACAAGTGCATTTGACACAGAACATTTATAAAGTACTTGGTAGGATAGATTTCTACTACCACATGCATATCACGCAAATGGTGATTATAGCTTTGTGTGTGCCGCATATGCATGTTTCAAGTTAATATCTTAATTAGTTGACCCTTCTGTTTAAAA